GGATAAACACTGATGTCTTAATTGATACAAATAAGATCAACTACAGCACACATCTGTGCTGTTAGGGAGAGACACAGGAGTGCACCTGAGGTGAGATGATAATGATAAATTGCCGGACATGAATACTGATACAATCGAGTGTCTTGTCAACAATCTTAATAATTATTAAGATAGAAAAAATATATATAGTGATAATAGAATCCAATGTAGTTGAAAGTGTCAACAGAAGTGTATCATTGAGATCGAATACATGCAGAGCGTGTTAGCTGAAGTAATATTGGCTGGAAATGTATCCCTGGGAGTGGTTAGATCTGAGACTTAGATTTTCCTCAAATAGCCAATCATAACTAAATAGAAAATAGATAAGGTTACAAAATATAATAAAAACTACTGCATTAACTAATTAATGAGTACTTGGTACAGAAAGACAGAATTGATACCTATAGGATAGACAGAATAGATATCGAGATAATAATCCTTCTATTAGATCGATAGTGCATAGTAGTGACTAGAAATTACAACTTAGCTAAAAGCACGTTGGTAAATTTATGCTAACAAATGCAGAGGTAAGAGCTTCCTGAGAGCTGCTCAATTAGTAGAGATTAACAATCTTGCCAGCTAGCCATCCACCTCCGTGCTTTCGAGGGCACCTAAGTCTAACCCACACTTGAAAACAAAGTTCACAAAAAGACTATCAGAAAGATGATTTCCTATAATAGCAACAGCGGCGTACAATGAAGCCCTGGAAAGCCCATTGTCCCCTCTGACGAGCTAAGTGGGCGAAACGCGCGTCAGGGGCTTTCCAGGGCTTCATTGTAAGCCGCTGTTGCTATTATAGGATTTTTGATCGTACAATTCAAATCTTCTGAGAGTGGCAATCATTTTTTCAAATGTTTTAAACACAGAAATAATTTATCAAGATGGTGACCCTGAAGCAAGGTTCTTGATAGTGGTTTGCAGGATAGAGAAAGAGATATATAGACTGGTTGATAGTAAGCCCGTAGGATTTATGTTTGGCAAATACACATTAAAGATAATGGACAGAATTAAAATACCACTATAGGCACCCAGACCACTTCAGCTTAACGAGGTGGTCTGGGTGCCTAGTCCATCTAGGATTAACCCTTTTTTCTATAAACATAGCAGTTTCAGAGAAACTGCTATGTTTATGTTAGGGTTAATCCAGCCTCTAGAGGGCTTCCGCTTTTCTCACTGTGAAAATCACAGTGAGAAGACGCCAGCGTCCATAAGAAAGCATTATGAATGCTTACCTATGGACTGGCTGAATGCGCGCGTGGCTCCTGCCGCGCATGCGCATTCAGGCGGAGAGGAGGAGGAGAGCTCCCCGCCCGGCGCTGGAAAAATAGGTAAGTTTAACCCCTTCCTCCCCATCCAGCCTGAAAGGAGGGGGCACCCTCAGGGCACTATAGTGCCAGGAAAAAGAGTGTGTTTTCCTGGCACTATAGTGGTCCTTTAAAAAAATAAAGGTACACTAATCATCGCCAGCGACTAATTGTGGTATAGATCATAATATAGATAAAACAGCTCGAATACAGCGTAAAACAGATAAATATACAATTAAACAGTCAACAAAATTAAACTGTATCTGCAGAAGATTTGAATTGTACGATGCTTGGAGCACCATGCACCCAGAGGAAAGAGATTATACTCACCTGTCATAAGTGCATGGTTCATACTCAAGAATTGACATGTGTTTAGTGAAGGCAAACTTTATAGGTAAAATAAATAAAATTCAAATTAAATACAATTCATGGTCAGACCATAGTTTTGTTATAGTAGAGTTTGGTAATCTACATGGAGATTGGATGACGCAATAATTAAAATATAAAAAATAAAGATGAACTAATCAAACTATCACATTTTTTTTCTTTTGAAGAAAATACTGCACCAGAATTATCTAACTCTGCAATCTGGTGTTCGTACAAGGCAGTCATGAGAGGCTATTTAAAAAAAAAAAAATGGAAAAAAATCAACAGAAAAAATAAAATAAAGGTAAAGACCTATCAGACAGACAGACATGCCTTTCCTGGCTCTTTAGGGTCTTTGGGTCCCGTTCCCGCCGGGGTGGGAAGGGGACCTTTCTCCAGCGCCGGGCTCCCTCGGCACTTGGGACTCTCTTCCGTCATCCGCTTAATGCGCATGAAAATCACAGTGAGAAGCGCCTCTAGCAGCTGTCAGTGAGACTGGATTAACCCTTATGTAAACATAGCAGTTTCTCTGAAACTGCTATGTTTACAGCAGGCAGGATTAAACCTAGATGGACCTGGCACCCAGACCACTTCATTGAGCTTAAGTGGCCTGGGTGCCTATAGTGGTCCTTTAAATAAAATATAGTATCTCGACTAGAGAATCTGTAACAAACTCTGATATATCTGAGCTAGCAGTGAGAAAAGATGAAGTAACAGCAGATCTACTAAATGCCAGTTTTAAAAAAATGTGCTGGAAGAAATTAAAAAATATTTACAAATACAGCAGAAATCAAACCAGAAATTAAAAATGAAATAAATCAACTATCGAATAAAATACAAGATATGGAAGGTCAATACAAAGAAATGGAATTGCAAGTGAAAAATATAAAAATACTAAAAAAAAGTTTCTAATATGGACTCCAAAATAAACTAGCTGGAAGATCACTCCAAAAGGAGAAACTTAAGATTCCGCAGCCTCCAAGAAAGAACAAAAGACGATGATTTAAGATCTGAGTAAATTGTAGAGAACCAAAGGTGTCACTTGAATAGAAAGTGACCACAAGGTTAAATTTCCAATCCACTCTAATAAGATCTTAAAGGAGAAAATAATAAATAACAAAAGAACTTTATTAGTAACTCTAAAAAGTACTAGGACAAATTAAACAGTGTAGCCTGATATGAAGGGTGAACAGCCCTGAGTGAGATGCTCAATAATAGATAATTAATAATAAAGCATACTACACTAGTTCCAAACTGGTATGGATTGGCAGTATGAGAACTAACTGAAGAGATGGCAATCTCCGCCTTTGTGTCTAAGCCCTCATGGAAGTATATACAGCACTGGTTACGACAGAGCCTAGTGTGAAGCAAAAACTAAAACATAAAAGGAATAGTGAGAGAGATGCTAAATGGTGCGAACAAAGCACACCGTAAAAATATATATAAAAAGAAGGGTATATACAGAGAGATAAGTAATAGGGATATAACCAATTAAATCCACCTCTCTAGGGTTACCAGAGGTCTGTGGTAAGGGTATCCCTAGACTCTAGACCTTCAGTCTCATGTAAACATCTTCATAGATATTCTATGCTTAAATTCAGTTTAGGGAAGAAAATAAAAAATAAAAAAATCCCTTAAATTCTCAAATAGCTGTCTAAATATAACATTTTGTATTGATTCAAGAATCCTTCATGCAAGCTGAATGGAGACTTACAACATAGATATACAATTATTAAGTTGGTGATCTGAATTAAGGTTATTAATAAAGAAATAAGGTAAAAATAACCTTATACCTATACTGATACCTATCTGTATAGTATATCCAGATAAAGTCTTTGCATAAGATCACACCCAAACGGTTACATATTATCCAAATGGAAAGATTAGATAAACTCAAAGTGATTATAGTACCAATGGAGAGGTCTGAAAACATATATACATACATGACATGTATGTTTCACACAAAATAAATAATCTTGCACGCCATATATCAAAAAATGAAAGTGCCCGGTGCTTGTCCAGCAAAATACAAAAAGGAAAATCAGATAGCACTCTCAGGACTATAGAAAAAATAAATAAAACTTAACTTTTAATTAGCTTATACAAAAAAATCGACGTTTCAGTCTGTTAACCACAGACTTTCATCAGGATTGATGGATCATGATGAAAGTCTTGGTTAACAGACTGAAACGTCGATTTTTTTTTTTGTATAAGCTAATTAAAAATTGTTTTATTTATTTTTTCTATAGTCCTAAGAGTGCTATCTGATTTTCCTTTTATATATATATATATATATATATATATATATATATATATATATATATATATATATATATATATATATATATATATATATATATATATATATAACCATTATAAATAAGGAGACAATTAATTACAGTGAGAGAAAATAATAAAGTCCTAGGGTTGTGTATATGTATGTACATATTAAGCTTAATGTTTAGAGATCAACAGTAAGGGCTATCTCGAGTTATAGTCAGATAAATGGAGAGTATGAAAACCCTTAATTTAAACCGTTTGGAGAGAAGGTCTTGAGGCGATAGATCCAGAAAGCCTCTCTGTCTTAGTTTGGTATCCCATCCACCTTTACGTGGTGGTTGTGGTATAAGTTCCAGACCCGTGAATCTGATCCCTGCTGATGAGTTATGGTCAATTCGGAGATGTCTCGAGACAGGAGTTTCTAATGGTCTCTTGACAGAGTTTACATGTTCGAGTATCCTATACTTGAAGGGGCGAAATGTTTTGCCCACATATTTTGGTCTGCAAGAACATGTGAGCAAATACACCACACCTACTGAGCGACAAAGAAAAAAACGAGATTGAAAATTTTCTGTATTACTGCTGTTGGAGAATGTCAGATTGTCTGTTAATGAAGGGGCACGCACTACTATGTCCACACTTAAAAGTACCCATTGGTAGATATTTCTTAAAGTAACCAATTGAAGTGGCATTTGAAAAATGGCTTGGTGAAAAAAGATCCCTCAAATTTCTACCTCTACGTGCCGTGATGGAAAGTGACAGCGTAAGTAAATTTTTGAGGTGTTTATCTGAGGTAAGCATGGGCCAAAATTTGTGTAAGATATTTTTTACGTTATCCCAGCCGGCATCGAAAGTGCCAATGCATCTTATGGGGTTAGCTTCCACCTTCCGGGTATCTTCACTAATTAATTGGTCTCGTTCCGTATTTATGGCTCTCAGAAAGGCCTTCTTTAAGACCCTATTGGGGTAGCCCTTTTCTCTGAACATATGGTGTAACTCATTGGCTTTACACTTAAACTCCTCTATAGTGGAGCAGTTCCGGCATAATCTCAAGTATTGCCTGATGGGAATACCAGATTTTAAAGGTATTGGATGGTGGCTAGTCCAACATAGGAGATTGTTGGATGCTGGTTTTTTTCCTATGTAATGTAGTGTAAATTCTTCCATCTCCTATCAGCTGTAGAGACAAGTCAAGAAAGCAGAGTTGAGAGCCTCCTATTTCGCTTGTGAAGCGTAGGTTAAATTCATTGATATTTAGAAATTGCACAAATTCATTAAACTTGTCTGATGTGTCCAACCAGATCACAAAGACATCATCGATGTATCTCTTCCAGTTAAAAATCTGCTCTATATAGGGTCTAAGTTGGGGGTCTGACTTAATGTGCCTCTCCCAGCAGCCTAGATGTAAGTTGGCATAGGAGGGTGCACAAGACGTACCCATGGCAGTCCCTGTAATTTGTTGATAGATCTTACCGTTAAACATGAATACATTGTGAGTCAAAACTAATTCTAACAGGTTTGAGATAAAGTGAACATAAGTAGTGGGTAGTTTATGTTCCAATTCTAAGACTGTGCGCACGTCTAATTCCTAGTTGGTGAGGAATAGAACTATACAGTGCTTCTACGTCCAAACTACATAACAGCACTTTATTGTGTGGAAGTGCAAGATTTGTGAGGAGGAACAGCATCTGCTTGGTGTCTCTTAGATAAGATGGTAATTTTTGTACGATTGAAGACAGGATTTTGTCTATATAATTACTAGCATTTTCAGTTAAATTATCACAACCGGACACTATTGGTCGCCCTGTCGGACCCACAAGTCATTTGTGTAACTTTAGTAAACAGTAAAAGGTTGACATGCAGGGTTGTTTAGTGCACATGAAATCATCCCGATTAATGAGAAGTGAATTCAGAGCCTCTGTCAGTAGTGTCTGTAATTCCCCAAGATATTGTGTCGTGGTGGTAAATGGGGAGAATCCAATAAGTATTACCATCATTCAGGAGAAGTTCAGCCATACGAATGTAGTGATTCTTGTCAAGGACTACCACATTATCAAACTCTCGGATAAGGGGGGTAATCAAATCTGTGTTAATACGGAGTTCTTTAAGTGCCTTTGTTTCCTGTTTACTCAAGTTGCCATTTGCTTGAAAGGGGAGGGATTCCATATTGATTTCATCAATCTCTCAACACACCCTTTCTAGGAAAACCTCCAAATTTTTGTAGTCTTTAAATTGAGGAGTGAATTTGCTCTTAGGTTTCAATTGTGTGTAAGGAAGTCATTGCTAATGGTACCATCGATCAGGTCCAGGAGGTCGACCAAGGTATATAAACATTCAAGGTCTCTTGGAGAAAGGCTCAGGACAGTGTTAGATAAGTTAATAACTCGTAAGGTGGTATCCTTTATTGGCGGCGCCTTCACTGACCTCTGCCTCTGTTTCGGGTGCGAGGGCCTTGTGCAAGCTGCGCCAGTCTCAGGCCTAAAAAATCAACTCAATTTTTGAGAATACTTTTTGGTGGCTTTTGAGATGTTATGGTTTGGAATGATGTAGTATCTGTGTCTGTGAACTCATATTCAGACGTGCTGAATTGGTCTCGCTGGGGTGATCTGTACTCTGAGACCCCTAGGTATAATGTTTTTGGAGAGGTATTTCTCAAGTGTGGATACCTCCTAGTTTTTTTTGATTTGTTGTTTAAATAGCTTTGTTAATTTATTGAAGCTACTATGAATATTAGGGGGAGACAGGGCCTCTAGTGAGCTTTCTGTGTTAAAAACAGTCAACGTAAGTGCACCAGGTCTTTTATCACCAAGCCATTTTCCAAATGCCACTTCAATTGGTTACTTTAAGAAATATATACCAATGGGTACTTTTAAGTGTGGACGTTGTAGTGCGTGCCCCTTCATTAACAGACAATCTGACATTCGCCAACAGCCGTAATACGGAAAATTTTCAATCCTGTTTTTTCTTTGTCACTCAATAGGTGTGGTGTATTTGCTCACATATTCTTGCGGACTAAAATATGTGGGCAAAACTTTTGCCCCTTCAAGAATAAGATACTCGAACATGTAAACTCTGTCAAGAGACCATTAGAAACTCCTGTCTCGAGACATCTCCGAATTGACCATAACTCATCAGCAGGGATCAGATTCATGGGTCTGGAACTTATACCACAACCATCGCGTAAAGGTGGATGGGATACCAAACTAAGACAGAGAGGCTTTCTGGATCTATCGCCTCAAGACCTTATCTCCAAACGGTTTAAATGAAGGGTTTTCATCCTCTCCATTTATCTGACTATAACTCAAGATTGTCCTCACTCTTAATCTCTAAACATTAAACTTACTATGTACATACATATACACATCCCTAGGACTTTATTATTTTCTCTCACTGTAATTAATTGTCACCTTATTTATAATGTTTTTTTAAATATATATGTGATTTTGCCTGCTTTATTTAAGGTTATACCGAAGGTTACTGGACTATCGCATAGTAGGTTCTTGTGCTCACTCCCCTTATGTAGTATATACAAGGGTTGTTTGGATGATTTATGATATGTGTATGGATGGAAACATACATGTCATGTATGTATATATGTTTTCAGACCTCTCCATTGGTACTATAATCACTTTGAGTTTATCTAATCTTTCCATTTGGATAATATGTAACCGTTTGGGTGTGATCTTATGCAAAGACTTTATCTGGATATACTATACAGATAGGTATCAGTATAGGTATAAGGTTATTTTTACCTTATTTCTTTATTAATAACCTTAATTCAGATCACCATATATCTATGTTGTAAGTCTCCACCTTGCATGAAGGATTCTTTAATACGAAATGGTCATGTGTACATTTGTACTTTAGAACTTCAATAGTTCATGCCATAATGTAACATATTTGCCCCATGCTCAGATTTACTTTATAAATATATTATGAGTTTATTGGGGGTAATTTAATCAATGAATGTAAGCGTCGTGGAATAACTGGGAGTAGGTGCTATCCCTTATACAGATATGCAATCAGCACATTGGTGGATGTAACACTACATGTCCATCAAACCCACGTGGGCTCTTCCCAGTGATGCGAGCAGTTAGCCGTGCCCACTCACCTTTCCAATTGGTTAATGCACATGCTGACTAACCTGTTTTACGGATGGCTGATTAAGGCATAGCATATTTAAACCATACTGGTGAGCAGTCACATTCACGTTTGCCCCTGAGGACCGTGTATTATCATGCCGAAACGCGTGTTGGGTTTTTTTCACGGGTCTCTCCGTTATGGAGCGCCTTATCACTATGCATGCAATTTTTTCACTTACTTTTAAGAATTTTTTTTTTTTTTAAATTGTCTCTTTTATTTAGGAATTTAAGGGAATTTTTTTCCCCCCTAAACTGAATTTAAGCATAGAATATCTATGAAGGTGTTTACATGAGACTGAAGGTCTAGAGACTAGGGATACCATTACCACAGACCTCTGGTAACAGTAGAGAGGTGGATTTAATTGGTTATATCCCTATTACTTATCTCTCTGTACATACCCTTCTTTTTATATATTTTTTTACGGTGTGCTTTGTTCGCACCATTTAGCATATCTCTCACTATTCCTTTTATGTTTTCGTTTTTGCTTCTGTTAGATCACACTAGGCTCTGTCGTAAACAGCGCTGTATATACTTCCATGAGTGCTTAAACACACAAAGGCGGAGATTGCTATCTCTTCAATTAGTTCTCATACTGCCAATCCATACCAGTTTGGAAGTAGTGTGGTATGCTTTATTATTAATTATCTATTATTGAGCATCTCACTCAGGGCTGTTCACCCTTCATATCAGGCTACACTGTTTAATTTGTCCTAGTACTTTTTAGAGTTACTAATAAAGTTCTTTTGTTATTTATTATTTTCTCCTTTAAGATCTTATTAGAGTGGATTGAAAATTTAACCTTGTGATCACTTTCTATTCAAGTGACACCTTTGGTTCTCTACTATTTACTGTATTCCCTAGGTTTATCCCCTACTTTTCCAGTCTAGGTGACCTTTTTTTGTGGGTTAAGTACAGGATGAGGGTGTTACACTAAACTCCTATCCCTGACCGCTCCCCTTCTTTTCTTTGATTTAAGATCTGTCCTTAATGAATACTTCATAGCACTGGTTGTATCTGTAAATGGAAATGAAGATAAAATTTAAAGATGTCATAGATTGAACAAACCATAGAATATTGCATCCAAACAGCCTCGAAACATAATAGCAAATTTCTACTCATATGATTTCAAAGAAAAAATACTTGAGGCTTACAGAGAGAAAAACATCAAAGTAGATCAACATGCAAATATGTTCAGACTTATTTAATACGCGTCAAAAAAGAACTTTTGCACCTATAATTGCAAAATTTTAAAGAAACCTAATCTGTTCCAAGATATCTAATGCAAATTTAAGCTCATGAGCTCATTATTTTTATATTTTACCATTCCTGGAAAGGACTCTGGAATGTGTTACTTTAGCTCTCTGTCTAAAACTTGTTATATGATCTGACTGAACACTGGAAAATAAATTGGCTCATCAGAGAGTGACTGCCCATTAAATTAGAGCAATAGCTACCTCTTGGGAATTGTACCACAGAACATTTATGGAGCAACACTCTTGGACCTTGGTCCTCCCAATACCCCTTCACCCATTTCTATGTTTATTTTATATTTTATTGCAATCTTTTGTGTATGGATTTCTTGCAATAATACAAGATCCTTTTTTTTTTTTCAATGAATGGTGACAAAGCCAAGTGCTTCAATTCTCCTATTTAATTTTCTTTTCTGATCTTTCTTTTATCTCTTCTTCGGAGATGCACAAAATGCTGAGGTATCATGGGAGATAGATGTTAGAATACTTCTTTTATTCTCTCTCTAAGGAAAAATCTCTCTCTAAGGAAAAATACAGTGTGTAAGAACCATTTTGTGTGTCACTACCATCTACTGAGTTTTGAGCATTAAACCTGAAAATGCTAAATGCTGCATATTAAGTTTAAATATAGTCTCAAGCCCAAGATGCTCTGCTTGTCGGGCCGCACGAGCTTAGGGCTACATGTGGTCATGCAGCTCCCCTCAGGTTATGCATTCCTGAAAAGGGAAATCTTGCATACTTACCAAATCCACACAGCTGTCATTCTTTCCTGCAAAAATCTAGCCGCTGTCCGCTTCATTGGCATGTCGTTTTATCAATTCAATTGTGATAACATCACATCCACACTTAAACTGACCACGTCAATCATTTTTGTGTCGCAGAGGTGATGTGGACAAATCAGAACAATTATTAGCCTATATAATGCTAATTTGGGCCCTTGTTCATTGTCCTATCATGGTTTCTGCCTTGGTACACGTTAGTGCCTATATTAAGTCTCTCGATCTATTTTGATATTGACCTTGGCTTGTTTCTGACCTTGATTATTTCTGGTATCTTGACCCAGCTTGTTATACCATTTATCCATATTTCTATATTGCTGACCTTGGCTATTACTGAATTTTTCTTTATCTTTCCTACATTAAATCCGGCCACTTTAAGTCCCGGTAATACGTGTATCTAGTACCTCTGTATGTGTGAGTCGCCATTCCTGTAAGTTGCGGTACGACCTAGTGACATATAATTCATAAGCAGAAAATAGCACTGGCAGTTACCTGATTTGGTTTGATTTGCAACACTGTCTATGTTTTGCTGCTTGTAATGGCAGAAGGAGAAATACACATGTTTACAAAAGGGAAAAGTACATGAAGATGACCTAAAGGTTTTCATCTTCCATAGTATCTGCTGCACTCTTCTGTTGCCCAACAAACACATACTTGCTCAACATAGGAATGTTATCACTGACATGAATACACTCATGATGCAGGAAAACACATTGTAGTGGTTATTGTACCTGGGGTGTTAAATACATCTGTTCTGTGACTCCCTCTTGTACCTAAAGGACAATACAGTATATTTATTTTTCTAATATTTCGGAGTATATAATTATGTGTAAGAATGTTTTATATTTCGTCAGTTTGTGACTGCTATGTTGTAATACATATTTTTGTTTTCTTCTCTTGCAGATATTGTTCATAAACGTATGATACATTTTCTTTTATTACATGAAGATGTTTCCTTGCAGTATTTCATCCCTGCTATGGCCTGAAGATGTCATTTAAAATATTCAAGTGGCAAAATAAATTTAACCCCTTTGTGACTAGACCGTTTTTCGATTTTCTTACCATTAAGGACCAGGGCTCTTTTTACTTTTCTGCGGGGTTTGTGTTTAGCTGTAATTTTCCTTTTACTCATTTTCGGTACACACACATATAATATGGTCTCTCTATAGATACCATTATTTTCATCATATCATATAATTTACAATAAAAAAAAGGTAAAATATGATGGGAAAAAAAAGTTTTTAAAAAAAAAAAACACTTTTTCTAACTTTGACTCCCCAAAATCTGGTACACATCTACAACCGCCAAAAAAACACCCGTGCTAAATAGTTTCAAAATTTTGTCCTGAGTTTAGAAATATCAAATTTTAACATGTTCTTCGCTTTTTTTTGGAAAGTTATAGGGCTAGAAGTACAAGTAACACTTTGCTATTTCCAAACCATTTTTTTTTTTTTTCAAAATTAATGCAAATCACATTGTAACACTGATATCTGTCAGGAACCCCTGAATAACCCTTCACATGTATATATTTTTTTTAAAAGACAACCTAAGTTATTAAAATTGGGGGTATGATGATGAGCTATCGGCGGGGCAAGAATCTCCGTGATCTTTTAGTTAAAACGGACCCCACACATTGCTACATGAAGGAACAACAACAAACGAATGTGGGCTGTTACCGATGTCTGGGATGCGTCACGTGTGGCATTATGATTCCTAGTAAAACCTTCCTCCATCCACAGACAAGGAAACAATATAAAATACGTCACAGACTGACATGTACGACTGATTTTGTCATATACAAACTACAGTGCCCATGTGGATTATCCTACATAGGGAAAACAGACCTACCTCTCAGAGAGAGAATTAGGAACCATCGTTCTAATATTAGTGGCATACAGGGACAAAAAAGCAGAACTGCCAGTAGCCAAACATTTTTTGGCAATGGGACACCAACTCCCGACTCTCAAATTCACAGCTATTGATCATGTACCTCCTCTGCTATGGGGTGGTGATCGGAAAAAACTGGATTAGGACATTAGACACAGTGTGGCCTAAAGGTCTTAATGAAAAAGTGTCATTCTCCATGTTTCTATAAATCTATATTTCTGCAATCTTGATTATAACCAATAGATTGTTGTGACTATTTTCCCCTTTCAGTGGGATTTAATTATCTACATTTATCTCTCTTCCATCTGTTTTTTTCGCTCTAGATGGAAGTTTTTTCAGAACTATCCTCACTCAAAACAATGGGTATAGGGGATTTTTTTTTTCTGTACTCACCCAATATGTTTAACTATTATATCTTTAAAATCAAAAGTTTAATGTAATTATGTCTAGTCATCTTAGTCAAACATGAATGTAATCTTACCCAATATATAATATTTGGATGCATTTAAACAGCGTCTCTAATAACATGGTAGTCAGTGCTTATAATTATGATCAGTGCATTTTCTCATTTTATGTATTAATGAGATCGTTTTTTCCACAAGTTAGGTAACAATTAATCATTATTTATCTTTCAGTCTAGTCGTATTTATCTAATTGTGTTGACCTCTTATCATTTTTCAAGAAATATTGTTTTTAATTACTTAATCCAACTTCATTAGAGATTCCGATGTCATTATTGTGCCGCAATTTACCTTTTACCTATTCCTGTCTCTCTTATTCTCTTCTAAGCCATTGGTTCTACAAAAACACCCCCAGCTACAATACAAGCTTTAATATATGCTTTTATGTATTTACACATTTTCTCATGCTAGTAATTAGGAAGTACTATTTAAATATAGCTGTATGGGGGGTAGTTTGACTATAACATAATGGACTTGGCAGTATTTGTCCATCTCTTCACAGCTCTATATTGGCTGGTTTACAAAACAATAGTGTGGCTTTATATTCTGTTTATAACACTCTTCTAACTTCTCTTTGGGCACTTATATCCCCCCTCTATTTGTGAGAATTGAAGACCCGTGCTGGCTTAGTGTGATGGTATTTGCACTCTGCCAGAGTGAAGTCCTGTTAAGGTCTCAATCCTGTAAGTGCAGAATCACATCTGTATGGTGCTTACTGATACTTTGTATCAATTGCATTCCAGGCAAAGTGCCAGACATTAGCAGTCAGAGGATCTCACCATCGGCACTTATATTACCCCTCTATTTGTAAGAAGTGAAGACCCAAGCTGGCTGAGTGTGATGGTATTTGCACTCTGCCAAACTGAAGTCCTGTCAAGGGCTCTATCCTGTTAGTGCTGCAGCGCATCATGCATGGTGCCTACTGATACTTTGTATTAATTGCATTCCAGGTACAGTGCCAGAAAGTAGCAGGCAGAGGGAATGATTTCAGATCCATACACACAGCAATACTAACTCTACTGATCTAACAGCATAGCAATCGTGGGTGAAATTGCGTTCCACTGATCACCTAGCAACCAAATGGAATGCAGTGCCTAGCAACTACGGTTGAGGCACTCTGATCAGCCGTTCCACGTGCAGTTTGAACGCCATTTTGGTTCTCTCACACATGAAGCTGGTTAGTATCCTTTTATGTTTTGCTATATACCTTATTTATCGGCGTATAACACGCACCGGCGTATAACACGCACCTACTTTTAAGAAGGAAATTTCAGGAAAGAAAACTTACATTTGAAATAAAGAACTTTGAAGCAAAATAAGGGTAGCTCAGAACTTTTTTCTGTTAATATTATTAACACTTATAAGGTAAATAACGTAAAATGACAGTAAAAGCAACTGTTTTAACAAAGAAACTTGGATATATGTTTTTATAAAAGTTTACTCAGAAATCGCTGCTGTCTGGGAAACCAAGAAACTCTTCATCTTCACTGCTATCTTCAATATCTTTGAACTGAACACTGCTGCTTTCACTGCTACTGTCTTCATAAATCAGCTTGTCTTCTTCACCATCCAAAGCATTGCTTATGCCACATTTCTTAAAAGATTTGATAATATCTTCTTTAACTGCGTCCCACGAAGTCTTTATCCACTGACACACTTTTGAAATGCCAGGTCTTTTCATTCTCCCAGAACTTGTACTTTCATGTTGGCTTTCATCACACATGTATTTATTCCATTCTTCACTCATGAAGGCTTTGAAGGGCTTGTTAATGGAAACATCCAATGGCTGCAATTGTGATGTAAGTCCTCCTGGAATGACTGCTACTTCTGTTTTGCACATTTGAAATTCTTTCTTTGATGGTTCTGTAAGATGAGATCTGAATGAGTCCAGTACTAACAAGGATGGCTTCTTTAACAAAGCACCTGGGCGCTTCTCCCACACATTTCTGATCCAAAGCCTCATGCCTTCTTCGTCCATCCAACCTTTGGGATGAACATGCACCTGTATGCCACTTGGAATCTTCTCCTTAGGAAAAGTTTTCCTTTTAAAAATGACCAATGGTGGCAGCTTGTTTCCGTCTGCAGTGACAGCAAGGACCACAGTATAACGATTTTTTTCATGCCCTGAAGTTTTAATTGTTACGGTCTTGGCACCTTTTGCTTCAACAGTTTTATTTGAAGGAACATCAAAAGTGAGTGGTACTTCGTCCATGTTGCCGATTTGACCAATTTCAAAATTTTGTCTCTTCCTTTGTTTGATAATAAATGAATGAAAATTTATTATCTTCTCTTCATAATCTTCTGGCATACGTTGGGCAATCCTGGTTCTTGTTCGCATCCGAAGCTCGTGCCTCTTCATAAATCTTTGGCACCATGATGCTGTCCCTTTGAAATCTTGTATTTGCAACTCTTTGCTGATTTTCACTGCTTGAATGATGATCATTTTTGTTGATAATGCAATGCCCGCTTTTCTATGATTAAGTACAAATTCCTTCACCCGTTCTTCTAATTTTGGCCATTTAGCAATACCGCTGCGAAAATTGCATTTTGTTTTTGATAATGTCTTGAGTTTTTCTTCCATTTTACCCCACTCTCGTATTGTGCATTCTGTTGGTGGCTCTCCAAAATGCCTTACTGCAGCCCTATTTCCATGTTGCTTGGCATATTCCACAACCTTTAACTTGAAACCAGCTGTATATGCTGCCCGCTTTTGCTTTGATTCCATTAGGGATACCGTAGTAGGGAAATACCGGTACCGTAAGTACGGTACGTAATGAATGCACGTATGATAGTGCAGAGTTCAGCGTCGGAATGTCAGGATGAGTCACACTGCAGTGGTATACTTTTTACCTAAGTTTAAATTAAAAAAGAGTAAGGTAGTATCAGGGGTGTGTAAATTTACCGGTACTCTTGTTATATCTGTGTGTTGTAGGATGGCTGTGTGTAGTGTGTGTCAGGCCCGGACTGGCCATCGGGCACACCGGGCAAATGCCCGGTGGGCCGCGGTGGCCGTGGGGCCGAGGCCGGCAGGGGAGGTCCCAGGATCTCCCCTGCCAGTCAATGCAGGGCCGGCGCTATCAGAGCGCCGCCCCCGCTGTGTTCCATGAAGGGCCGGTGGGGA